CTGTATACTTGATTAAAACAAATATTTACATAATATACCTAGATGTTTTGCTCACAAGGATTTCTGGACCAGATAGATCTTGTAGAGTAGGTAGAATTTCTTTCAGTTGAGGGAGATGAACTGCTGGTGTTTTAGGACTCCCTTAAGGTGGAAAATAAAAGATACAAGTAATAGAATTACATAGTTTGCCGTGACGTAGCGATCAATCAATTTGGGCACAGTCCCTGTTAGTTATCAAATTTAAGATTTAAGTTTTGTTTATAGTAATATATCCACATGTCAGAGATATGGATCCAGAATCTGATGCTTAATTATGATGATTATTTAACATTAAAAATGGTTGACATCCAGTAATCTTGTATTTGGTCATCAAACGAGTACTTGTCTATATTGAGAGATATTGCTCTGGAATAGCAATAAAAAAAAAAGGCCTCCATGAATATATACAATTTGAACATATCAGAGAACCGCAGACTTTAGAACCGCATTCATTAAAACAAAATGGCCGCCAGTTAGCCATTTTGAATCCAATCTGAAAAACAAAATCATGTACATCAAGGACCAATAATGTCTAATGCATGTACAAAGTTTAAACAAAATCAATCCATAAATGAGCGATTCCAGAATGCTAGAAAGGCATGAATTTTGATGATTTCTTTAGCACAAAAATGGCCACCATTTGGCCATTTTTGATCGATTGGTCAAACTAATAAATCTGTACATCTATTACAGTAGTCATTTCGCCGTACCTCCCGCCCGCTTCCGGATTTCGATCGCTTTTTTTTCGCTCGCTTTGTTCAATTCGACCGCGCAATTTCCGCTTTTTTTTCGACCACGCAAATCCGGAAGTATCCGCTCGCGCAATCGCTCGCTCGCTCGCCTGACAGCGCAACCGCCCGCATTTACAGTTCATTACCTACTGTTTCATGTACAAGTGTATCATTTTTGTTTTTTATGATGTTAAAATAAGAATAAATACAATCAGAAATTTATAGAACGACCGTTGAAAAAATACGGTGGATCACACGGCCATATAAAATTGGTAATAATACATACGCGTAGTAATAATGTCCACCATAAACAAGATCGAACCAAACATGTGAAATCAAATACAACACAGACACAACTAATATGAAATAAAACCATTCTATTTTTGGTGGAGAGCGAAAAATGTCTACTG